GGCCTAATTTAGTCTTCTTTCCCTTGCCACTTTTTTCTTATAAGGAAAGGATGGGAAGTGGAAGTGGACTTTCCGGATGAGAGGATGCATGGAAAGTGAAAATATTTTCTTTCTGTGCATCCTCTCCTCCGTCGATTAAAGGTAGGCAACGCATATGCAATTGCGTATGTCTATACGCAACGATCACTTTGCTATTTCAGTGATTTCAGGTGGCCTGCTCGCTCGTTTTCCACCTTATGATATAAAAAATTGTAGAACCTAAAGATTGTGGCGAAAAATGAAGAGATATTGCTATGTTTTGTCAAAATAATTTCCTGTAATTTTGTAATTACTCCTATATGTTATTTCAACAGGTCTAATAAGACTCCAAGAGATATTAAAACACGCGGAGCCGGGTCACAAATGGTTTGTGCGTAGACTAGTACCCGGTGGGGACAATCGACCACTGTTCAAAGCAGTAAAGACAACCGGAGCTACGCGGGTCGTCATCGATTGTCCAGCAGAAAGGATACTTGAATATTTAAGACAAGCTAATGAAGTTAAATTTTTTGAAGATTACATGGTATGTTCATATTTACTCGAATATAGGTACTTATTTTTATCAACCATAAATATATCAATGGTTGGTTGCTAATGCCTTAAATAGCAAAACTCAGCCTCTGATATCATCATTTTCTTATAACTTGCGTATTAAGTAATTTACCTTACTTCTTACTTATATCTTAATAATATTATAAATGCGAATGTTTAGATGGATCGATGGTCTTGTGTTTGAAGGTATCAACGGCAGCTGGATCTCGCTGAAATTTGGCATAGATGTACAATGTAGTCTGAAAGAACACATTGGCTACTAATTATTTTTTTAATGCCGCGCGGAAGGAGCCGCCTGCATCTATTTTATATATTTTGATTCGTGTCTTTTTCAGAGTTATGTCCTCATGTCACTCGATGCACATACACTGGATCTAGAAGAGCTTCGGTATGGTCTATCAAACGTGACCTCAATGCGTATTGTGGATCATTCCGACTCAAGAACACTATCATATTTAGCAGATTGGAAGACACGGAGTGCATCTGAAGTCGTAATACCAAAAACAACCCAGGAAATAACAGTATTAATAATTGATCAATACAATTATTATTGGTGCTAAACAAATTTGAACGATAAACTTTTATTTTTAAATTTAAAGGTAGAAGCTGCACTAGCCAGTGATGCTGCAACATTGATAACAGATGCATTTAAAACTGCACCAGAAGGATTTACGATAGAGCCTCAAGAACTTGAATGTAATTCGGAAAGTCAATGGGAAGTAGGAGAGGAATTTTTAGATCATTTACTAATGGTATATTTAATTTATTATATAACGTTTGCTAAAACGAGCAATGGTTATTATCATCGGGCAATCTCTATGTTCACGTGTTGATAGTGAGACTGCTATTCATAAACATACCGAAACAAATATAAAGAAAATCAAAATGTAGAAGCATAAAATATCTAAGTAGCTTGTTTTGTAATTAATTGATCTATTAAATATTTCAGAATCCGACATTTGGTATAACAGATAAAATAGTACTGGATAATACAACTGGTGAACGAACTTATTTTAATGTAGAAATAATGGAACTATCTAATAGTGGTTTTAACAGCATAGCAAAATGGAATTCCATCACCGGCTATAAATATGCAAGATCAGCGGTTGAAGTTTCTGATTTGTTAGCTGAGAAATGGCAAAACAAAACTTTTAGAGTAGTATCACGAATTGGAGCTCCCTATTTAGTTGAAAAGACTCCTAAAGAAGGCGAAGAATTGACTGGTAATGATAGATATGAAGGATATTCAAAAGATTTAATTCATGAAATATTAGCGGAATCGTTACATCTCAATTATGAAATAATTATAGTACCGGGAAATCTTTACGGTTCGTACAACAAAGAAACTAAAACTTGGGACGGTCTTATAGGATATCTATTGGAAAGGGTTTGTTTCTTCGTTTTGTTATGTTTATAATAAAATTGTCTATAAAATACTAAACAATGGATATCATTTATTTAATTACAGAAGGCTGATTTAGCTATTTGTGATCTAACTATAACGTACGAGCGACGATCTTCGGTCGACTTTACAACGCCTTTTATGACTTTGGGTATAAGTATACTGTATTCAAAGCCGACTCCTCCTCCTCCCGAATTATTTTCCTTCCTTAAACCATTTTCAGTAGATGTTTGGATTTATATGGCAGCGGCTTATTTAATGGTTTCTTTACTACTTCATATATTAGCTAGGTAAGAAAGTTTTGGGTACAAAAATTTGAAATTATTTTTAAAATGCTTTATAAATTTTAATATGGCAGACATTTTAAAGACACGTGTTTTTTTCAGGTTAGCGCCAAAAGATTGGGAGAATCCTCATCCATGTGATAAGTCTCCGGAAGAGCTGGAGAATATTTGGCATATCAAAAACTCATGTTGGCTTACGGTCGGTTCAATTATGACGCAAGGTTCGGATATCCTACCAAAGTAAGAAATGATATCAAAGTTTATTAAATATTACGCAATTAAATTAATGCACCTTTCAATTCCGATCAACTAACACTTAAAAGACCTCATGCAAGATCTTTCGTAATCCGTGGCATTAGAAATATTCTCGCCTTTTCTAATTCTTGTGTATAATGAAGTAACATTCCTCAGAGGATATTCAACGAGATGGGTGTGCGGTATGTGGTGGTTTTTTGCACTTATTATGTGCTCCTCGTATACTGCGAACCTAGCTGCGTTCCTCACCAATGCTGCCATGGACGATTCAATAAAAAGCGCTGAAGATTTAGCAAGTCAAACTAAAATTAAATATGGTACTGTACTTGGTGGATCTACGTATTCATTCTTTAAGGTAAAACACGAAACTAAATATGTCTAAGTTTGAAAATAATTTCTTAATTAAGGTGTAAGGTTTTTAACGCATAGCACAATCATAAGAATAAGCTAGAACAATTAACTCTTGGCTGCCTTAATCTTTACTCGATTATTGAAATCGATTCGAAAATTATTTTAATTTAAATGAAATAGAGAACCAAAATTTTTCGGTAGCACTTAAAAAATTAGATACTGTATTTCGAATGCCATATCGATCTTTAGATGGATTCAATTTGTGCTCTATTGATTAAAAATACCACGTAAACGACATCAATTACAGATTTCGGTTGTAAGACAAGACAAAGGATCTTAGATAAGTAATGTGAACTGCCAAATAAAAGGAATGTTTCTCTTTGGGCCGATCGATCGGTGGGCTGAAACACTCAATAAAAGTTATTGTTTTAGCGTTCAAATGTATCAACGTTTCAAAAGATGTGGGGAACCATGGAATCGACGCGACCCTCAGTGTTTGTTAAAAATAACGATGAAGGAGTAGACAGAGTGATGAAAATGAAAAAGAAGTATGCTTTCCTTATGGAATCAACTGCTATTGAATATCAATTAGAACGGAATTGTGACCTAATGCAAATCGGTAGCACATTGGACTCCAAAGGATACGGCATAGCGATGCCATTTGGTATGTAAACAAGCTTAAATACTACGGTAACTTCTATCAGTGTCACTTTTCTTTATCTCTTTGTGTTTTAGACTCATCATACCGCACAGCCGTTGATAACGCCGTATTAAAACTTGCTGAAAGCGGAAAATTGGTTGAACTTAAAAATCGTTGGTGGAAAGTCCCCAAGGAAAAAGCCTGTGTTGTAAGTTTTTACTTTAGTTAACATGTCGAGTTAAAATTGTGCATAAGTTAAACATTTTAGGACCGATTGTACAATATCGACATGTTACTTTTTATTATATTCTTTTTTTAATTTTAAAATAGTTTTAATTTTTCTAACTGGCTTGTCCGTCAAGCTAATTCATAATTATTTTTTTTACTTTTTGTAATCTATAGGCAGAAGAAGCAGGAGAGGAGGGTGCGAGTGCTGAGGAATTGGGCGTCGACAATGTAGGTGGTGTATTCGTGGTGCTGGGTATTGGTTGCGGGATGGCTGCTGCTATGGGGGGTTTTGAATTTCTTTGGCATGTCAGAGAAGTTGCAATCGAGCAAAAGGTAATTTTTTAATTATTAAGAACACTCGAAACCAATATGCCGATATGTGTAGACGTGTAAATGTGGAAGAGATGTTACTTGCGCCCCTGGGGTACGGACGTGATTTGTGATCTTGTATGTTGTAATTTTATACTATTATTATAATATATATACTAACAGAAGATAGAGATGCTAGATAATCTTACATTCAATAAATAAAATAATACAGTCATAAAAAATCTACAAGGATAAACGAATAAGAAAATTCCTTTTCAGATGTCGCAAACGGATGCATTTTGGGCGGAACTGGCGTTCGCTTTAAGTTTCTGGGAAACTGAGAAGCCCGTTGTTCACTCGAGGCCATCATCATCCGCCTCGGGGTCTATAGCATCGAGAGCGTCGTCAGTGCTCCGCTCAGCGGTTGATCTTTTTCACCTCGATGTTTTTAAATAATTCGAACTTGAAACATTTTGTCAGAAAAACTGGTTCATGGTTTTATACTGCCATGACAATACAATTGTCACGGCAGTATGAAACCTCAGCTACGATTGTACAATGTAGAATTAAATCTTTAATAAATCTTTTATTCATTTATGCAATATACCTTTTACTTTATCTTTTTCTTTATCTGCCAGTTATCTTCTAGAAAACTTATCCATAAAGTCAATTTATTGATCATTTGTCTTTAATAAAAAGGTACCGAATCGATTTCTATTCGATTTTTAATATATATATATATATCAAAAATCGATATATATTTTCGATATATATATATATATATATATATATATATATATATAAAAAAGAAAGTCGTGTTAGTTACACTATTTATAACTCAAGAACGGCTTTACCGATATTGTTGAAAATTGGTGAGGAGGTAGCTAAGAGCCAGGAGATGCACATAGGATACTATTTATTCTTCTTTTTTTCGAATTTATGCCTTGAAGAGCTGCTTTTCATTACTTATCTATATATCAAGTATTTATATATCCACGCGGACGGAGTCGCGGACGACAGCTAGTACTATATATAAAAATATTGTGATGACATGTATATCGAGATTAATAAATCTCATCAAAATTGATAAAGGATGTAGCAGCTCTGAGCACGGAGACGGCTCGGGACTGAGAGCGTTCGCGGCGCGGGGAGGGAGTCACTGAAGGTGGCGCGGAGCGCGGAGGAGCGGCAGGTTTGTGCAGCACGCGTGGATCCAGCGACGCACGCCACTCACTCAGCAGAGCCTCTTTGAATGTCACCTGCAACCACAAAACAAAATGAATGAAATTTCGGTCACACGCTATAAAGGAGTCTTGGAAGCTGATTTCGCAAATGAAAAGTACGAAGTAATTTAGGAAAATTAAAAATAATCAAAATTAACTATACCTTTTCTTTCACAGAAATTTGTCGCGCGTGTAATAAGAAATCAATTATCGCCACAAAGAAACCTAAAATTCCTCCGAAACCCAATACTAAAAATATTCCACTGGTATTCTTCATTTGTAATGAACCATTATCTTCTGCTTCGTTCGTAGATTTCTGAAGAGAGAGAATGTAATTTTAATATCAATACAATACAATATTCTGACAAAAGTATCAAAGTGGTACATAATAGTATAGTTAGATGACTGCTGATCGTGCGGTCTTCGTGTCAACATATGAAATATCTAACGCGTAAGTAGAATTGTAAGAAACATTGTGGAACATGACAAATTACTCTCACCCTGAGGAGTTGCTGAAATGTGTACACTGTGAAAGGCATACATAGCAAAAGTTAAATTACCTCACAATTTCCTTCTTTAACATCACTCTCCCACCATTTCTTTTTCAATGACAGTAGATCTCCTGTCTCTTGTAGAGCTAATATAGCATTATCTACTAGCCTTTTGTAGGGAGAATCTGAAATATAATTTGACAGTCACTTCCAGTTTCAAATAGACATTGAAAATGTTTTACAAATCCAAAATCTTATTCTTTTTCCAGGAATACCAATTCGATTACCGCATAATGTCACCAAAGCACACTTATGCCATTGTCCCATATTTGTAAAATTCATTCATGGATTAAGAGCAAAAAGGTCTTTTTAGTTTTAAGAATAAAAAGCAAAAATAAAAATCAGAACTCACTTTTATGTAAAGCGATGCCATAGTCTTTAGAATCTAGTTTAGAGCCGACCATTTTCAAATCGCAATTCCTCTGCATGTAATACTCGATAGCTGTAGATTCCATGAAAAAGACGTAGTTTCCTTTACTTCTTACCACTCGATCTCTGCCTTCATCATTGTTATTGGTAAACACTGTTGGCTTGGCAGACTTCATTACAGTCCAAATCTTCTGATATACCGAATCATTTGAATTCTAATTGCAAAAAAAGAAATACGTCATTATTTTAGCCAAATTTTTATTTTCTACTATACTGAAATTATATCAGTTCCTAAGGGAACTATTCTTTAATCAAATCTACAATTAACACTGGTAATTATTCCAGGTAAAGAGCAAACATAACAACTATACTCGTATGTATATGATAACCAAATTGCAAAATCATAATTTTATCCCCACCTCGAAAAAGTTGTAGGTTGAACCATTAATAAGAACACCGTATGAAACTTCGTTTTGTTCTGAAAGTTCTTTGACATCTTTTATTTCGTTATCACGTCGACTGTTACTCAAAAATGTTGACATGTTAGCTGTATAAGACGCAGTCACTATGAGGGCGAAAAACCACCACATTCCTGTCACCCAACGTGACCCTGCCGCTCTGGAATCATAACATTGATAATCAGCAAAAACTTTAATATAACATATGGATAGACATTAAATCAATCCTTGAGAAAATGTAACTAAAGGTAAAACTAGCTGTCACCTGCGACTGCGTCCGCGCAGAATTAAAAAAAAAACATAATTAGAAGTGTTCTTCCAGACAATGTTCTCTATGTGTGCCAAATTTCACCGAGAACCGTTCAGACGTTCTGGATTTAATTTGAACATTGTCAACCCAATTATTATAATATCAGCGATTTAAGTTACCTTGGTAATATATCGCATCCTTGTGTCATTATAGCGCCGACTGTAAGCCACATGCAGTTGTATAAACTCCAAATATTTTGTAGATTTTCAGGATGTTGGTTACAAGGATGAGGATTAACCCAGTCTCCTTGACTCATTCTAAAAATAAGACATTACTGAAATACTATTATAGAAATTTCCAAAATACTATCGAGATCGTCCAGCATGTACAAAGCAAAAAACACAGCAAAGTATTTACTTCAACCACTTTTAATATTCAATGCAACGTTTCATTCATTTTACCACAAATCCTAAAAACTCTTCACACATGACTCCTTCCTTGGAATATAATTAAGATTTTTCTTTATTTATTGACTTCAGACGATCAGCTACTTACAATACTTTAATTAATAACATAGATAACTTACCTAGCACAAATTAATAGGACAAATGATACAATAATGTAAGCAGTAGCTAAATATAACCAAACGTCCAGAGCTAAAGGCTTGATAAAAGAAAACATATCAGGTTGCTGGGGATCACGTTCTCTCACCAGCATACTAATACCCAAAGACATAAAAGGCATTGAAAACTCCACTACGGCACTACGTTCAGATGTTATGGTTATATCACTTATCGCCATTTCTGCATTCTGTAACAAATTATAGAGTCACTCAAAACTAACTTCAGTAATCATACTAATATTATGAATGCGAATGTTTGGATGAATGGATGTTTGTTTGAAGGTATCTCTAGAACCGCTGAACGGATCTCGACGAAATTTGGCATAAATATAGAACATAGTCTAGAAGAAGGTTAGCTGTACAGAGGGGGAACGCTGCCAGTATCTTCGGGACCTTGCCTAAAGGGACTCCTTTTAATAACATATTTTAGTATATTATTCGTTTTTTTTAATACTTTATTTTATATCATAGATTTAAGACTATTTGTAATTATAGAAATAAGGATGTATATTTTAAATTGCTTATAAATGTTTTGTTGAATAAAGTCTGGAAGAATACATAGGAATCTTATTATGTATTTCTTTAATCCTGCGTGGACGGAGTCGCGGTCAACCGCTAGTTAATAAATATTTCAATTCATTGATCTTTGTATCACTTACTAATTCTAAAACTTCTCCTATTAATCCATCCCACTTTTTTGTACCGGCTATTGGATTTCCAGCACTATTCGCATTCGTTTTATATATTTCATGTTTAATATCACCATATCCCTTTTGTTGTCTTATATGTTTGAAAATAGCATCAATAAGATCCACTGCGTATCCCTTTTGGATGATTGTTCCATTTGCTTCTTCTACATCGAAATAAGGCATACCTACTTTCATGGCAACCTAGTACAAAGAATGTATTTGGTTATAATTTTACATTAAAAGATTATTAGTTATCAAACTGTACGTACCCTAACAACAGAATCCGAAGTGATAGCTTTAGATCTATCTGTAACCGCATTGTTTATGGTTAGGAAGCTATCTGTTTTTGAATCCCACGTACCGACGTGAACAAATTGACTTTCTTTATCTAATTTGGAATAATATAGCGTAAAATTAGTTCTTTTTCCATTCTCATCAAAAGTTATGTTTCCAGTTGTACCTCTGAATGTAGTCTGAAACAATAATAAGTAAGTATATTGTTAACTTTAAAGAAATCATTAAATACATACTTAATATTATTAATAAGCTTATCCCTACCTGTAATAAGACCTCCTTTAAGGCTTCCCCGTGTATCCACGCTTTTTCTTTATAAGCAGCTTTGTTCTCAGCAAAACATATTTCTGGTGGATCAACGTATTCCATCATATTCTCCTGTCTCATAGTACGAATAGCTTTTTCAAAATGATTCAATGCATCTGCCGTTAGCGCTGTCTCTATCTAAAAAGTACGTAAATGTATTTCCTCAATCGATAATGGAACATAGCCGATTTGAATTTGTTCCTTTAAGACCTTTGTATAAAGTAATCAAAAATATCTCACCAGAACAGGCATTTCAGCAGTGTCTATACCGAAATCTCTCCAAATGGGTTCATTTGATTTTGTTAAATGTAGAGTAGATACGTTTGCACGAAGTTGTGAGATATCGTCTAGTTTTATCAAGTACGAATCGAGAGCTGTTAAAATAAAACTCTGGAAATATAAAAAATGTAAAATATTACTCAACCCGTTTCGCAAATATTTTGGAGTTAGAAATGACCACCACTTCTATATATCTTATTGTACCTGATATTGTGTTGAATTATTAACAGAAACAATTTCCTTCATATATTTCTGTATGTTGTTGACGTCACAATCTATTAAATGGTAACTAATTCGTAGTACCCCAAATACATTTTTGAACGTCTTCCGATTGTCGCCATCGGGTTCTAATTTTTCAAATTGTATCCTTTCATTGTTGTATGGCCAAGAATTTATTACTTCTTGAAGTCGTACAAAACCTAAAACATGATTTTTAATGATAGTACCAACACGCAATGTAAAGTTGATTTTTCTATACATAGTCTGTTGGTAACTGTAATCTTCAACTGTTTCAGATCAAATTATTTGTGAAGTAAAATCCTTAATGTGACAGCTACCGACACAACTTATTACTAATTTAAGTCTTATAAAGCCTGTAAAATCTTAGCTAACACGTGTGATTCATACATTATTATCAAAGCCAGGTTGTCCTCTGCTTGCTGTAAAGAAAAGTCAACTTTCCACCATCCAGGTACTATATTCCGTTTTCAATAAATCTGTAAGTTCAGTATCCTAGAATTGCTAGGAAAAATACAACCAAACAACTTACTGCCATCGTCCTCATAGAAGAACGTAAATCTGTCCCACTCTAACTCTTTGATAAGTGTGGCGTACGCTTTTGATATAAGCTCTGATGGCGGATGGTAGAAAAATGAAAACTCATCTTGATCCGAGGTATCTGGTATTTCCCAAGCAACAGAAAGATGGGAAATCTGAAAATTTAAAATAAATATATCAGATTACACAAGGCAGTACATGTTTATTACTGCATGTATAACATAACTTATTAAAAAACCAGCTCATGTTTAGTTTGGATAATTAATTTTAATGTGGCCTAATACATCAACCCACCAGAGTAACGAACGAAACAGCTACATTGTTGGATTTAATAATAACTGATTCACCAAGCTTATGCAAAGACGTTACAGTACTTCATAACCCCTCGCTTAGTGACCATGCTATGGTAATTGCCGAATTAAAAATCAAAAAACCCAGAGAAGTTACACGTTTCGTCTTTAAACGGAAGATTGACAGGATTAATTTAGACCTATTTAAAAGAGATTTAGAAAGCTTACCATGGGAAATAGTACGTAAGGGCAATACACTTGATGAAAAAGTAGAACGCCTAAATACTCTTATCAATATCCTATTTAATAAACATGCTCCCTTACAGCGTACTCGTGTAAATAATAAGTCTCAGCCCTGGATTACCGAAAATATAAAGTTAATGATGAAGCTTCGCGACAACGCTCTTAAAAAAGCACGGGCTACAAAAACTTCAGGTCACTATGAATACTACAAATCTCTACGAAACTACACCACCAAGGCCATTGACAGAGAAAAGACAGCTTACTTCAACTTTTATATTAATAATAACAAGCATAGACCCTCCTATATGTGGAAATATTTGAAAAGAGCTGCAGTGCTCGGTGATTCAGGTACATCAACAATTCCCCCTCATTTGAGTGATCCAGACAAAATAAATGACTTCTTCTTGAATTTGCCTAGCTCTTCAGCAGACGTAAATACATTAAACTTTTTGAATGATAATATCGGCACCAACATTAGATTTGAATTTGAAAATTGCACAGAGAATCAAATAGAAACAATTATAAGATCGATCGACACAAAAGCGATGGGTCATGACGGAATATCAATTGACATGATCAGGATGACTCTTGGATCTACATGTAGTGTAATAAAACATATAATTAATGAATCTATACAATCAGGTACTTATCCTGAGCAATGGAAACTCTCTAAAATCAAGCCAATCCCTAAACAAACTCATGTAGAAGATTGGAAAGACTTAAGGCCAATAAGTATTCTGCCGGCACTCTCCAAGGTTATAGAAAAGATCGTGTGTAAACAGTTAACGCGCTACTTGGAATCTGAAGACCTGATACCTTCACTACAATCAGGTTTCCGAAGTGGTTATGGTACAGCTACAGCACTAGCCAAAGTAAGCGACGATGTGCTGGCAGCACGTGATGCGGGTGAAGGTACTCTTTTAATACTGTTAGACTTTTCTAAAGCTTTTGATAATATTAATATTGACCTTCTTCTAAAGAAATTCAGTTACTATGGTATATCTGACAAAGCCTGTCAGTGGTTTAGGTCTTTTCTCTCCGGTCGTAAGCAATTTGTTGAAATCGAGAATGTTGAAGGCCTAATTGTCAGATCACAAATTAAAGACATCAGTAGCGGCACTCCACAAGGCTCCATAATAAGCCCAGTTATCTTTAGTCTTTATACAAGTGATATCACAACATCGATCACTAATTGTAAGTATCACCTATATGCAGACGACACGCAGCTATACTTGTCATGTCGACCCGAGACTTTAAAACAAGCGGAGGCAAAGATTAATCAGGACCTAGACTATCTATCTAATTGGAGTATGAGAAATTCTCTTAAGATAAATCCTTATAAATCTAAGTATATCGTTTTTGGAAATAAACACCAACGAGAAGCTATTATCAGGCAGTCTCCGAGAATCATGATATCGGGTCAAGAAATTGAAAGAGTAGAAAACGCCAAAAATTTGGGACTATTTATGGATGGGGATTTACGCTTTGAAGAACACGTAAACAGCAAAATAAAAAACGCCTTCTACAGACTAAAACATCTATACCAATTCCGAAAATACCTAACCGAGGATGTCAGAAAAACAATTACCGAAGCACTCGTACTTTCCCTTTTCAATTACTGCGACATCATTTACGGACCTAGAATTACAGAAAAGACAAAAAGAAGTATTCAGCGCGTGCAAAACGCATGTATAAAATTTTGTTATCATATACCAAAACGATCACATATCACTCCATATCTAAACGCGCGCAAAATCTTAAACATGGCAGCGAGAAGGGAATTACATTTGGCCTGTTGTTTACATAAAATTATAAAATCTAAAAAGCCATCATACCTATATACAAAATTAGATTGGTTCCAAGACGCGGATGGCAGAAATACCCGTAGAAAAAAGCAGAATCTCCTTAAAATTCCCAAACATAAGAGCTCCAGCTACAGAGGAAGTTTCAAGTTTGCTTCCACAAAAATCTGGAACGACTTGCCCCCGCCCTTGCGCGCCCCTGTATCTGCTCAATTGTTTAAAAAACATCTTAAAGAGAAGTTATTGCTTAGGCAATCGAACTTGTAACCTGTTTAATATATAGCTAATGTGTTCTTGTCTTTTTTAAAATTAACTATGTTTTCTTTTTATTTCTCCATTATCTCTAGTTAGTTGCTACGAGTTGTAATTACTTTTATTTTTGTTTGTTTAGTTGTCTGCTTTTGTTTTATTTCTTTTACTTAATTTCTAGTGGTTGTAAACAGGCTGATGGGCACCTCTGAACGATCATAACGTGGCCTACCGGGACAGGCTGAAAACCAGCTCCGCATGGCCATGCCATGCGGTACACGCTGAGCCTGCAGCCCATTGTCGTCATACATATAAATATATATTTGTAATTACTGTGTGTTTTGATGTATTTGTGTGATGGCAATAAAGAAGTTTTATTTATTTATTTATTTATTTACAAAGAAAGTTGCGCCTGTTATAAAAATGACAGCAATTTTTCTTTACTGAGCAAAGCAACATAACACAGTAAGGATAAAAAATAAAGATTTAAATATGTTTCAAATCCTAGATTTATACTCACATGCAGTTTATTACACAGCAAACAAGTGATATCACAAATACCATTCGTTGGTCGCACATCGATTAATGCCACAATACCTTTATTTTCCGAAGTATCGGAGCATACTAAAAACAAAAAAATATAATTACTAAACTGCAAATTTCACAAAAATGCGAAAGATGGCGCTTTATTACTTTCTAAGTTCTTAAGAATAAGATATCGTAAAGATGTAATCTCAATAAAAAAATGTAAATTTTTTGGAGTTTTAAAAGCATTACATATATATAAAGCTTTTGAATGTAATACATACGTTCTTGTGATACAGACAAAGAGTTGATGACATTTGGATGTAAAATACGACCTTGAAAAGGTTTTGAAGTGTCCAAACTTGATAGTACTCTAAACACTTCTTCCGATCTTGAATTTGTTTCATGATTAAATAATGCCCCTGAAAAAAACATACTTATTAATTATTAATAATATGAATGAATATTTTTAGGTTATAATTTCGTACCTACGGGAAATCGAGAGAATGTATCAACTTTTACACAAAGACAAGTAATAAACAATAATAATAATGAACTTATGGAAGACATATTTTAACTTTTAAAATAGTTTGCAGACGAGCATGAAGCGAGCGCGCCGGCCTCACGCCGTCTGAAATATTTTTGGAAAACAATTTTAGGTCACATCACGAACTAATAATGTGGGAGAAACGGAGTGATGTTTACCACGATTGCGAGTCTATTCAGTTAAATATTATTCAGTGATGTTATATTAAAAAACAAAGAAGTATACGCAGTTAAAGTCAATATTTACTTATCTAAAACAAACAAATGAAGACGTGCAGTGTTTTAGTGAATATTTAATAGTATTATAAATAAACATGCGTTGGATTATTTTGTTTTTGTATTTAATAAGCCAAAAGTGTTATGCGCAGAGCAGAAACGGTGCAACATACCAAATAGGTAAATAATTCTTCCATTGACTATAAATTGATACGAAGCATATTGTTAACTTTTGGTTATTATTTTAGCGGGTATATTCGAAGAAGAAGCAATCACTCAACGACTAGCATTCGATGACAGCATGAAGGACGCAAGCTTAGATGATTACAGACTGGAACCAATTATTATACCACGTTCGAGACCAGATATTTATACAACATGGCGAGACGGTTTGTTCCAAATTCAAAATTGCAGATCTAAATATTATATATAAAATTCTCGTGTCACAATTTTGGTTTCCATACTCCTCCGAAACGGCTGGACCGATTCTCATGAATTTTTGTGAGCATATTGAGTAGGTCTGAGAATCGGCTACTATCTATTTTATAATCCCGCGCAGACGGAGTCCCGGGCAACTGCTAGTAGTAGTATAAAAATATTGCCATCACTATCATTATCTTTGTAAGAAATAGAACTAAATTTAATCTTAATTCTTACTAATATCACAAGTGAGAAAATGGCTATATATGGATGGATGTTTGTTAAAAGGCACCTCTAGAACTGATCAACGGATCTTGATCAAATTTGGCACAGATGTCTGGAAAAACACATAGTTTTTTTTTTTAATTCTACCCTAACCAAGTCGCAGGTGACAACTAGCGTTATTATAGATGCATTATGAGAATTACTTTTTCACGGTTAACCAAAATTTACAAAAATTAGATTCCCGGTATGTTTTCCACAAAAGCTTTTAATAAAACTTTCACTTGATCATAGGAATTTTACATAAATATAACTTTAAAATGGTGTATATAAAAAATATATTTCTATATATAATACCTTTCCCTTTTGTTTTAGTATGTTCAAACAAAATGATGCAACCAATAGCGATCGTTGGACCACAAAGTCCATTTAAAAATACAGCAGTACTTGATCAGTGCTTTATTTCCAAAATCCCATATTTACAAGCTACATGGCAACCTCCGGAGATCGAATATATATTTGAAAATGATTCAATAATAGTCGATAACATCACTGAAAGTGATGGGCAAGAGGATGCTGTGGAATATAAGAAAATGATAATTAATTTTTATCCTGACAGTGATGAGATTTCAACAGCGCATGCGGCATTGTTAAAATATTACAAATGGGAAAATTTCGCTGCACTTTATGAAGATGAATATGGTAAGATACTGCAGTATTATTCAGGAATTTTTTTATTGCAAATCATACAAAAACTTGTTAATGTGTGATAAAATCTGGAGTATAATATACTAATAATATAATATATTACTTATTACTAATATTATAAATGCGAATGTTTGGGTGGATGGATAGATGTTTATTAGGTTGGTTGAATAAGGTAGGTGGCTCAACGAATCTCGATTAAAAGTGGCATAGATGTATGTATAACACATAGGACAATAATTTAGTTTTTTTCAACTCCGCGCGGACAGAGTCGCGGGTGATGGCTAGTTACAAATAATGAAAAACTTTTCAACGTAAATTTTTTAAGTCTTGAGTACCAACACTGTTATGTTTTTTTTATATTTTTCAGGCTTAATGCGTATACAGAAAATTTTAGCCGAATATACTGACCAGTATCCAGTGACGATAAGAAAACTCGAACCAGATGGTGATAATTATAAAGTTAGTTAAAATCCAAATACCAGTATCAAAAACATTGTCTGTAAAAACTCCGAAAATATATTTTTTTTTTAATTACAGGTGTTCAAAGAGTTGCAAAACAGTCAAGAAACTCGATTCTTTATTGATTGTCACGTGAATAATGTTCTTAAATACATGGATATTATAAATATGTTGAATTTAGATGATTTTTATCAGGTACGAATTTATTTTATATCTAGAAACAGCAACAGCTCAGCTCTTCTTATTAGCCAGTATTTTTCGGATTTTTCCATTATTACAACATTTTTTTCTTCTAATTGAATTTAATGGAATCATCATCACTTCCCTACAGAGTTCCTTGTTCTCCTTACAGAGAATCGGCATACCATGGTTTCGGTCCTCCTTATCAATGTAACTACCGTCATTACTGAGATGGTCTCACTTCCTTCTTACTAGTTTTAGAAATTATTAGTTAGAATCATTTGGCGCGAAGTTGAAGAATGACGTGCTTTCGTTACAAAGTCAAGTGTCAGAATGAATTGTGAAGGGACATAAACATCGACAATTTACTAAGGCTAGTGTTGTGCCAGTACACCAGCATGTGGGGATTGTTTTCCTAACACTAGTAACATAATGTTTTTTTTCTTACAGCATTATATTTTCGCGTCACTGGACACTTCGATAGTGGCACACAAGCTTACTGACTACCGATGTAACATAACTTGGCTTAGTATCACAGAATATGACAAGTTAATAGACGCGCAACACTTTTTAGCCCAGAGAGTTGAACGATGGGCTATCAACACAGTATCACCTCCTGTCACTGACATGCCGGTATAGAAATATTTATCTTTTTTAGCGATACCAAAAATGTTAATGAGGACTTACTTTTTAACCCTTTGACTGCCGGGGATTAATATTAAGGACGTCAAAGTCGTTACACAAGAGTTTTCCTCTTAAAAATGAATCAACAAAATAGCTTCAGACATAAGTACTTTGTTACATTTGTTTGTCAAAATCGCATTTTGGAAGCCTTGTCGTAGTCATATTTCAATAATCATTATTTCTGGTAAAGACTAATATCGTCGTGCGATAAAGGGTTGACATATGTAAGCGAAATTGTAATTTAAACATGGCCTAAGTTTTTTAAAGGGTTTTTTGCTGTAAAATACCTCCTCAACAACATATTGTCTTTCTTCTTATTCTCTTGGAAAGACACAAAAAGCAACAACAAAAACCAACAAGAAGAGAAACTTCATCTGTTACTACTAAAAACTAGCTGTTTTGATTTTCAGATAGAGGCGTTGCTTATGAATGATGTAGCAAATCATGTTGTTAAAGCTCTTACAACTGTAGAAAAAAGAACATCTATTCAAAAACCACCAACATTCTCCTGCGACTCTGAAGATATATGGGAGCACGGCGGTTTGATGCAACAAGAAATTTTAAAGGTTATTAGATTTATAACGTAAAAGTTTTATTTTAACTTACGCATTACTTAAATTTGATAAATCTAAAATACCAAATAGCGAACAACTATTCATTATTCTTATTTTATCAAAATTCCAGACGAAAACAACCGGAGTTTCTGGTAACATTGAGTTTAATGAATTGGGTAAAAGAATAAATTACCTTTTACACGTCAACGAAATATATCTAAGAAAAAGGCAAACAATAGGTAATTGGGAGTCCTCTTCAGGGGGAAATATAATAGAGGACAGGCCGGATGCGGATAATATTGTTAATCAACAAACTAGAAAACACTTCTACGTAAGTACATACTCGAAACTCGCAAAAAATAATACTAATTCAATCATTCTATTTCGACTTCATATATTTAATATTTCATTGATTTTTTTTAATACTAAAAAGTGCTTCGATGAATGATTAAGGTTATCTAACCTTAGAAGTTATCGAAAATGTAGGGGTCTGGCAGAGGACTGTATTTAGAGAAATTTTTATTAAATCAATATAACTCAGGACGTAGAAGAGATAGCTTTTATCAGAAATATTAAATGCATTTAGGTACATGGAATACTATACTCAAAAGTAGAATATTCTTTATTAATATTTCAAATAACAAATAAAAATTTTGATTTTAGTATAAGTAACGACATCAACCTCTTAATCACTCAATGCCCAATAATTTTAACTTTATTTAATCTGTATTATAAAATTCGTACTCGTAGGTAATATCTCGTAAAGCTAAGCCTTACTTTTATGAAAAAGAAAAATGCACAACACTTGAATGCGAAGAAGAAGACGACGGTGAAAGATACGAGGGTTTCTCAGTTGACCTCGTTAAGCAAATCTTTGAAACGCTTAAAAAAGAAAATTTTAACTATACGTATTCATTTAAATATGATACAGATTATATTTACGGTCAATATGATAAAGAAAAAAAGAAATGGAATGGTTTGATTGGAGACTTGTTGGATAAGGTTAGTAAAATATTTTCAACCGAATTTAAATTCGCAATTCTATAAATTGATGATGATATTCACAGAAAGCTGATTTGGCGGTTTGTGATTTGACGATAACAGAAGAACGGAAGAAAGTTGTTGACTTCTCAGTACCTTTCATGAGTTTGGGAATAAGTATTTTGTACGTGCAAGAGAAGAAAGTAGACCCTGGAATGTTTTCATTTCTAAATCCTTATACATTTGAAGTGTGGATGTATATAGCGACAGCATACTGCGTTGTCTCTATTGTTCTATTTGTTTGTTCGAGGTAATAATTTTTATTACTTATTAATATTTTTATTATCGATTAATAACCGCAATTATATCTGTAAATTTATCAGTTCCTTTGTAATCGATGGTGATATGGAATCTACGCAAATATAACGTCATACGTAGACAACTAATTTATTCGCTTCAACCTTATCCATGTTGGTGTAATAAATTACCGATGCAAGGCTTCATTATTTAAATTATTCAAACTTTCGTGAGACATTATACTAAACTGATATATAAACACGGCTAAACACTCACGTATATACGTCCGGTGACTACTAGTCGGACAACTAGTCGGTGCCGCCACCGGACGTATATACGTGAGTGTTTAGCCGTGTTTATATATCAGTTTAGCTTCATTATTTGTCCTAAAAATACTATAGATGAAATCGTAATATTACTAATCAAAAGATTTATTCAAATATCAATTCCTTATCATTTTATAAATCACAAATTTGTTTACTAAAACGATTAAATAATCATAAATTATGTTTATCAGAATATCACCAGCTGATTGGGAAAATCCACAACCGTGCGACAAAGATCCTGAGGAATTGGAAAACATTTGGAATTTCAAAAATTGCGCGTGGCTCACAATGGGCTCTATAATGACTCAAGGATGTGATATTTTACCTAAGTATACATTTTTATTTATTTCTCTTATATTATACAAGATACTATGACAGAACATATTCCTAGATGGTTTCGGAATAATTTAAGGAATACTCATATTTTTTCTTTTAGTTAATGCGTATTTTGCATCCTAAGGCTTAAGAAAAAAAAACATTGTGTTTTTATAATAATTCTATATCATGCAAGATACCAGTTAGTCTATATCATCTTCCTCATAGTCTATATTTCTTCGAGACATTTGATGTTCATCTTTAAACTAGCCGTCGCCAGCCACTCCGCACACGCAAAATATTTATTAATCGATCTGTTCTTCCAGACTATATTCTATATGTATGCCAAATTTCATCGAGATCCGTTGAACCGTTCTGGAAATACCTTTTAACAAACATCCATCTATCCATCTAAACATTCGCATTTATATGTAAGATGTAAGATTACAACAATTATTTCATTTTCCTATAGAGCTATTGGAACAAGATGGGTTTGTTCAATGTGGTGGTTCTTCGCAGTGATAGTTTGTCAGACATATATTGCCCAACTATCTGCCTCTATGACATCCGCGTTAGAGAACGAACCAATCAATAGCGTTGAGGACTTGGCAACACAAAATAAAATCCTCTATGGTGCTATAGATGGTGGATCTACATTGGGATTTTTTAAGGTTAATAAAATTACCGAATTTAAAGAACTAACAAATATAAAATAAACAAGAAATTGATAAGTATGGGGAGTAATTAAAACAACGGTTGCTCAGTGCAAACTGTCTTTAATGACGTCACCTTTCGTATAGGTCGGACGCAGCCGACCGTTCCCATTTACGCATAGTGCAAGCGCATACATAACAGAAATAAAATAACTTATGTTTATTAAAAAATGAAATTTACAGAATTCAAAAGATAAGATGTATCAAAGAATGTACGAGAATATGAACGCAAATAAAGTAGTTTTAGTAAATAATAATGATGAAGGAGAAAAGAGAGTAATCAATGGCAAAGGGAAATATGCTTTCTTTATGGAATCTGTAACCATTGAATATAAGTTAAGACGAAATTGCGAATTAAAAAAAGTGGGTGGAGAATTAGATTCTAAAGATTATGGTATAGCTATGCCTGCAAGTAAGTAATTTATAAACAAGAAATTTCTTTCAATAACCCGTTTCCCTAACAATTCTAACAAAACTTTATTCCTTATAGATTCCCCATTTAGAACAGATATTAATAGAGCTATTCTAAAGTTAAAGGAATCCAATGCTTTAGATAAAATTAAAAGAAAATGGTGGGAAAATAAGTATGGAGCTAAATCATGTAACGTAAGTATAATATTCTTAACTATTGGCTTACAAAGGCTATTGTTAAATTTAATAAGACAGGTGTCGACCACGACGACGAAATAAAAAAAAAAACATAATTAGTAGCCTATGTGTTCTTCCAAACTATGTTCTATAATTATGCCAAATTTGATCGAGATCCGTTCAGTCCTTCTGGAGATACCTTCAAACAAACATCCATCCATTCATCCATCTAAACATTCGCATTTATAATATTAGTAAGATTACTTTGAATATTTCAGCAAGAGGAAGATAAGAATGATGTAGAGGGAGATTTGGAAATTAAGAATTTGATTGGAGCATTCCTCGTACTAATCGGTGGACTTGTATTAGCATTGTTTATAACGGCAGCAGAATTTATGAACGAAGTCAGAAATATCGTTGTTCGTGAAAGGGTATGTAAAATTCAGACATCATAACTGTGAAATGTTTTTATTTTGTATTGGTGAAAGAAATTATTATGTTTGCACACTTCGGCATTTTCAGGTAACACACAAGGAAGTATTCATCAAAGAACTTAAAGCTTCATTGAATTTCTTTCAACTGCAGAAGCCCGTGCTGCGCAACCCTAGCCGCGCGCCCTCCGCAGCCTCTTCTTTGCAGAGTTTAAACAAAGAACGTTCTAACGGCATCGACAATTTTCTTGATCTTGAAAGAGAACCTCGCTAGACACAACCTATAATATTTGGTCAAAAATGTTCCAAAAACATGTCGGCATTTAAATTATCGTTTCCTATTTATAAAGAAATGTCTACATATTAATGCGAACATTTCAGCAATGTTCCAATTCAAATGAAACTATTAAAAAATAAAGATGGTTTTATCTATCATTATTAACAAAATATGCACCTGAACCACTAAACTCGACAAAATCAAAAAACGACATTTAAAAGTAAATCTCAGATAATTTGCTGACATCGTCAGCGAATTATCACGGAATTACCACGGAAAGAACATTTGGCATGTTACATGTCTCTGTTTCTTCATAACTTAGAAGTGGGATGATTATATTTTTTTGTATAGGCAAGAGCTGGATGAGTGTGGCCGTGGACCGTGCTCAGTGGCGTGTCACGGGAGAGGCCTATGCCCAGCAGTGCACTAGTATAGACTGATCATGATGTATAAGCAATAGAAACTCATGATTACAAATTAATGCGATTTGTCTTACTAATACGTCCAATTGTCATATCTTATTCTACCTAGACAAAAGATTTTTCCATAAAATACGAGTTGAAAAGCTTTTTATTAATGTTTAATAAAATATTGAATTGTTAAGAATAACAGTGGTAGAGCCCGATTTAACATCTTCGCACGAATTGGCCCGGCTCGCCCGGTGAAATACCACGACCACATAGAAGACAGGCGTGAAGTGGAAGCAATTCCGCGTTTTGTCTGATAAGTGTGCGTCCCGGAGGCCTTATTTAGTCCTCTTTCCCCTCCCACCCTTTTCTTATAAGGAAAGGATTGGAAGTGTAAGTGGACTTTCCGGATGAGAGGATGCATGGGAAGGGAAAATATTTTCTTTCTGTGCATCCTCTCCTCCGTCGATTAAAGGTAGGCAACGCATATGCAATTGCGTATGTCTATGGGCAACGGTCACTTCGGTACTTCAGCGATTTTAGGTAACCGCTCGCGCGTTTGCCACCTTATGATATAAAAAAAAGAATACGAAGCATATAAGAAAGTAACTAAAAAAAATAGGCTATGCATGAAGTGTACAATTCAAAAGCTTAGCTTACCGATTGCTTTTCATAAAAGAAACACAATGACGTACATATCTTTATTATCATAAATAGTTTATAATCAATTAATTCTTATTTGATTGTTAATGATAATATTCAATCTCTTTTTTTATCAACAATTCAAATGTATTAACACCCGGCGTTAATTACTTTTATCTAGCTCTTTGTATACTTTAAAGAGATTATAAAATGTTTATCTATCAATAATATAGATTTCAGGATAAATTTCCCCTCCAGTTTTTACTTTATTCATCCTTTAACATACGTAAAAAATTACTTTGCAAAATTTCATTTTTCTACTTTTTTCTTATATCTTTATTACTAGATTTTATATATGTTTCTAGATTGTTCTATTTATTTGTCTTCCTATGTGATATATGTTATCATAATATGCTGTAAATTTAATTAAATATATTATTTAATGATTTGTTCTAGGTATAGTTATTGCTTACATATTTACAAAGGCAAAGGTTAATCATGTTTTAAGATGCAAGCTAAAACTAGATACGTTGTAGGGTAACAATTAGAAAAAGGAAGTTAATTTATTAGGGTTCCGTACCTCGAAAGGAAAAAACGGAACACTTATAGCATCACTTTGTTTTCCGTTCGTCTTTCTGTCTAGACCCTTTTCCTCAGGAACACGTGAAGGTGAAGTAACACATTAAGCTGGAATTTATTATTAGATAATTCACAAGATTTTTTATTCAATTCATCAAAATAGCCAAACGACCGCTGCACAGATATTCGCAATTGCAGATGCTTTTAATAGGTTTGATGAAGGAGAAAATGTTTAGTATAAATCTGGCAATAAACCAGAAGATTTTGAAGAAGTTATTCTTTAAAACATGCATACATGGATATAAACTGAATTGTAATAAACTTTAAAGAAGCTCCAATACGAACTGACTCGTGATTGATCCAGTTTACACGCGAGAGGCGGTCGTCTGATATGTTAACAGAGGATTCTATTAATGTATTCCAATGACCGTTTGCGACTGACAGACACAAAGGCACTATGATTCAGATATCGTGAGGCGAGCAGTTGCTTCGTTGTGTTCAATTGTTGCGAAAGAATGCCAAATCTGTTGCTTGTAGCGAGCCAGTGGCGCGTGGGCCACCGATCGAAATGGTCGTTGGGTGGGTAGCTGCGGCTGTGCTCGCCGCAACCGCGCTTGGTGCTACTATCGCGCGTGAGTTTTGTACTTTCAAATTTTACAATATTTAATTTCGCCTTTTAATATTAAAAAGTATACGTTGTTCATTTCATAAAAAAGTATGTTTAAAAATATATATTTTTTAATTTAATGTTTTGTGGTAAAGTAAGTGAAGATAAAAAATGCTTTATATTAGTAACTTAGCGTAATAAAAACCTAAACGTTCACAAGCAATATGCACAAAAATGTTACATAAAACAAGGGCATTATTTTTCTAGATTTTCGTCAATTTTTTTTTTGAAAAAAAATTGAGTCGGTTTTCTTAAAATTTTTGTTTGTTTTATGATTTTACTGAATTTGGAGTTCTGTTACTAATTTCCTTAATACATATTTTGGAGACAAAAATCAGACAAACAAAGAAAATGACTACCTAAATTTTATGTATACATCTTTCTCTCTCTCTCTCTTCAGCCATATGAAGTCCACTGCTAGACATAGACCACCCCTATAGCGGATATATTTTCTAAATTCAAAAACAAATTATAAATACAGCTGTCATAGCAGATAACCTCTTATCTAATCAAGAATACTATTGTATATTATGTCTGAAGATAATTATAAGAACACCACTAATTTAAAATAAAATAGATTTCTTCAAAACACCAAATGGTCTTCATGAATTGTTCTTTTAGTTCTTCAACAAGAAACAAAACAACATCATGATAATAGTCCAAATCAAACAATTAGGTACATTTTATGCATTTTTCATACGTTTTAATCTTTTAAATTTCTTGTTTTTTTTTTTAATTTTTAAAATTAAATTATAAACGGCTATATTATCATCAAATTTTAATAGACAAATAAATAATATTTAAAAAAAAAGAAGATACAGCAATTTTTTTTAATTCACAATGAATATCCTAATCTAATTTATATATGAATTAATATTTTAATCACTGTTTTAATCATTATTCTCATCGATTTGCCTTGCATTTATCTTGCATAACATCGACCCAATCCGTAAAAGGAACGCGTTTAAACTAACGTATTAATCACATACATTCGTTATGTCATCACAATTACATAATTACGGTTGCAACTTACTCTATACGATTTTACCTAAAACATTAGCCACTTAAAAAAGACAATAAAAAAACTTTATTGAAAATTAAAATTAAAGTGCAAAAAAACTATTTGGTAAGTCAAGTCTGACGCTATAACTGGCCATCGTGTAAGCTTGTAAAAAAAAATAAAAAATATATTTTTAACACACACATATCTACTAATTAACATTCTACAATGCTATATTATACTCTTCCAGGTATGACCTTTAGGTGAGTACTACAATGACATATCTTGGAACACAATTAACAACACATTTCTATTTAGTGAATGAAATGCCATGGAGTGTGAATTTTGGATGCATTTTTTGAAATGAGACAAATACAATTGAACTAACGTATTAAAAATTATTTATTAATTTACAAAAAAATTATCATATTTTTATTAATTTACAAAAAAATTACTGACACGTTTTTTAATTTATGACAATTTTTTAAAAATTGTTCAAACATCACAACCGTGTTGTTCTAAAATGTAATATAGCGTAAGTATAGTAAAATTATAAATTTTTCGAAAAAAACGAACACATTATTATTTTTTTTGATCATACCAATAATATTTCAGTGCGCGTAATACCTCTACGAACGCCGTCGGATCAAACTTTCATAAACTCAAGTCGAATAGTGAGGAACTTGCAACGTGTATGTACGTAGATACATGGATAAAAGGGAAGCACTTATTTGGTCATAGGTTGCACATGTACCTTTAATTATTAACAATTAAATTATAACCTTACTTTGGGTGTTGGATTAACAATATTTGTCAACGCATGATGCGAAAAAACCTATTAGAAACGTATCAAATTACTCATGAGATTTTAATTTTTAATTAACAAAGAGTTTAGGTGTAAAATTATTTCACTAAAGGCTCAAATTACCGTGGGTTTCTGAGTCCAAAATCTCCGTTTGAAACAGAATTATCTCTGTGTTGTCAGATATAGACAAGGATGACGATATTATACAGAGATTGTGGTCTCTAAAACTCACTGTTAAGCAAATTTTCTCCGTCTGTCCTAACATTTGTAATAAGTTTACGTGTACATAATATAGGAATATTATTAAGAAAATATTTTTTTACAACCGATATTTACATACAACAGTCATGTTGTTTGCGATGTTATTTAATAATAAAGTACTGTAACGTTTGTGGTTATGTCATATTATTTATTTAAAACGAATAACTATATTGAATTCTTAAACAATTCGTGGGCAATAACATAAAATGTGACTAAGACGTCACAGTAACGTTGTAATGTACAAAATTGCACGTGTCACTGACCGTAAAGTGAATATCCTTTCTTTTGATAAAAAAAAATAAGTTCAGACCCACGCATTGATGCTTCAACTTCTCTCTCATTTAAATTGATCAATTTCTCCGACACAAGACATGTATCTTTCTTTCATAGTTCAGGACGCTTTATTCGTGGTTATAGTTTTTTTTTTTATAAATTGCTATAACCACGAACTTTCTTTCAAATTTTTAAGTGACACGTAGTTGGCCACAATTTTTTCGTCTCTCGATTACACTTCTTTTGATATTTTAATTTTGTATATGTATTTGACTTAATAGCACAAATGCGAATATTTCGTTATTAAATAAGCCAAAGTTCAAAATATAATTTAATATTTCAGCCACAGAAAAACAATTGCTAGAGAAATCAAGTTGCGGGAGAGTTTGGGTGACAATCCATTCGCCTGCGATAAAACTGGTCGGCGGAGGAGAAATACTGGACGCTATTGAACTTAACTGGGATTTCGCTGATTGTCACGACGCACCTGGACAAGTAAGTAACTGGAATTCATGTTCTATCTAGCCGCCGACTGTGACACTGGATTTATTCACAGCGAGTACGTTATGCGTAATGTAGCGTCAGTTTGATGTGAACTGAATTAGAATGCGAACAGAACCAAAAAAACTGCGTAACGCTAGCTCACAGTAGGTGGCTAGTTTGAACGCGCCTTTAAACTACAAGTGCATGAAATCGTCTATTACCACTGCCAAATAATAAATACAAAAATATGTTTTTTTAGAGTGAATAAGCTAGCTTTTGACCATGACCCCAACTTATGTAAAGAGGTGATGTGGCTGAAAGGTTGTACGCACTAGTTTCAGTAAAACAAAAAATAATTAGAGTAAACATGGTATGATCTTAAATGCGTTCGTCTATGCATAATAACACAACATACATTTTATCTCGAACGTAATACATGCATCAGGATATCCGTTCACCTGATGACCACAATTTAAACGCGGTAGGCGTTTAATTTACGGTCATAAAGCAGATATCTACCGCGTTTTCCACACGACATTATTTTCCACATCGTGTACGTAACACGTAATGCATTATGATATAAATACTATAAACAATGAGAATTACTTTTGAAGGGTCCAGTCTTTCCCAAAGTGGGCGATCTTGTGGGCGCTGCAGGTCTCAGGTTATAGTTAAAGTTTCGTTTAGAATTCTCCGTTAATATACATATATAGGTCACAATAATTAATTAATTTAATTTGAAGTTATAGTGGTCTTTAAATATGTGAAAATATGGGGGCACTGAAAAATAATTTATTCTCAAAGTGGGCGGTAGACAAAATAAGTTTGAGAACCACTGGTGTAGACTCATTAAGATATTTTTCCTTTTCACTTTCTATCACCACGTTCAATGTTTACCGTTTTGCTACACATTTGCCAATAACATTTATGTACCTAAATTCAAAAGTTTTATCACGTGTAGAACATTTCGAAACATTAATAAATGTCTTACAAGCTATTGTATGCAAATTAGAACTGGAAGAGTCAATCAACTATCTTGCTTGTTACTATTGCTCGTGAGTAGCGCAAGCCACACGTGAGTTCCATTGACGACCTATTTTTAAATCACGATCATTCGTTCCCTTTCAAACGATTTATTACAAATACAAAAGTGGGAATATGAATAGAACGTAGGAAGGATGTGTCCTGCGTGCTCGTTCTCAATTACTGGTCAATTACCCTAGTGTACTATTTTTAAAGATACAATCATCAACCTGCCCTTATCCCTACGAAGGGTCGTCAGAGTATGTACTACTCGTCCATACATCTGTGACTGTTTTATCTGAATCCACCACCTTTTTACGCATATCTTCTTTCAAACAATCCATCCATACTTTATTTGGTCTTCTACTACCTTTGTAGCCCTACATATTCAATCCTTTTTTTGCTTATTACGTATCTGAATATTAATATTAACCGTCTATTTAAACTGTTGAAATACATAGAAACATTTTTTTTCTGGCAGTCGGAACTCAAGGTTAACGACAATTTATAGAACCATTAACAACATTTCCGAACAAATTCACCATATATATGTACCAAACCGTCTGTCACACGGTTTTCACCTATTAATGACTGAAACATTAACTTTTGATTGATTTAACTTTAGTTACCTTATATTTAGGATTTATTTAGGTTATTTAAAAATAAGCTAAAATATTATTAATGTCTTTAGAAGATACTATACTAGGTACTGATTTAGAAGACAATGCAATTGGTAGATATGCAATCAGTATAAGGAACCTAATCGTAGTTAATGAATGAAGGATGGCACGCATTAGTTATCGCCTATTCACTTTCTCTTAAAGGCATCCGCCATAATCAGATAGTAACTTTGACGTAGTGGCTTGATAAAAATCTATTATATGTTGGCTAGAAAGTTTGTTAGTAGCTGGCTATCGATTTCATTCCTTCGTGCTAAGTTTGTAATTATATTTAGGAACATTACAATATATATATTTGTCAAAATATATGTATAAAACATATCATCATTCCTGTCATTTTTTGGTCTCAGAAACCCACGATAGACCGCTTACAATTTGCCGTCAATGAAAACCTTTGATTGAATTCTAATACAACACAACTATTGTATGTTTACGTTTCAGGACAAAATAATAATATTTTACCAATTTCCATTTACAGATTGGTCTCTTTGACCATCAGCCTGGTACGTGGAACGATGCGTTAGTTTTCTACCCGATAGAGTCACCGCAAGGTCGCATTGTGACGAAGACATCTCTGGGAGCGAGCACATTGCCTGCTGGTTGGAACACGGGCGCTGGTGCTAGAGGCCCGCATTGTTTATGGCCATGGGTGGGCGCTGGACACTCAAGAGGCGGCGCCGAAATCAAGGCGTATAACTGCTTGAAGATACAACCAACATGGATGGAAGATAACGCGTAATAATCCTTTTTGTTAATTTATATTCAATAATCATTGTAACATTAACAATTTCCACAATACTTTGCTCTTCCAAAGGCAAATTACTAAGTACCTAAGTACTTAACAGGTGCATTAATACGTAATATAATTTTTAACCCTTAATTCGATGGTGTCCAATGTGACAAACAACTAATTAAAAAAAATCTACTGAACTAGTTTAGAGAAAATTACGTAAGTATGACATTACTAAAAAAAAAAAAACATTTTTTTGCTACAAAAAATTCCGTCGAATTAAGTGTTAACAGTAGTTCAATCTTTTGTCACGTAACCATACTAAATGGAAATTGCTGGATCTAACAATGATTTACACCGTCCTTTTAATTGCCAATGAACAAAAGTCAAGAATTGAAATGGATATACGCATTTGTTGCCCAAAAATTTCACATAAATATTTCCTCAGTTCAATTGAACCGTCGTTGAACACCTCGGTGTTCCCGCTGATCGTTTTCTTTTATAAAATAAGAAAAAAAAAATAACCACAAAAACACTATGTGAGTTTAATCACAATACTTTGTGCGTAAAAAAATGCTTTCATCTTGTTATTTTCTTTCAAAACATTCGGGTTTCATACTGTATAGTAACAGAGCACACTATACAGCCACGTTCGACGTACTAATTTATAAACTGTGCCCACAATTAACTTAATGAATATTAATAACGATGCCGCTCTTCCCTTACATAACCGAAAATATATAATATATGTATGTATACTTACCATAATTGTACGGTTAGATACTTATATGCCCACTATTGTACTAAGGATATACTGCATAAAAAATCTTACAGATACTTTCCCAAAGGTTGAAGTGAACAACTAAATCGAGAGAAGCGTTAACTAGTTCTCTCTTAAAAACTAACTATTGCGATCAGAAATTTCAAAGCTTGTATTTTAATATAATCGATCAACTAACGACAACGCTTTACTTATTCATTGTGTAACATTATTTTAGGAGCGTGAAAGTTTGTTATTTAAACAGTGACTTATCGATTTGACATGACTCATCAAATTGAATGTAGTGCGACTTAAACTTATATAAAAACGGCTAAAACAATCATACACACGAACATATCGTCCGGTAGCGGTATGGCACATCAGGGTCCCCCCATCGGGGGCCCTGCATAATACCAGTCCCACTCATCTTGATGTAGGGTCCCGGATGGGCTCGAAACTAATCGCTGCAACACAAAACCGGACAAACATACGTTAGTGTTTTCGCCAGTTTTACAAAGTTTGAATAATGAGACTTATTTAATAGTGAGGGTCTTAAATTATACGTTAGCATTAAGAATTCATCTAGTATTAATTAAATAATAAATCTATTCGCAGTGCTAAGATCAACAAGCTCCGGATCGGTCATTTGGTGCTACCAGGCGCACATAACGCGGGCGCATGGAGCTTCGACACGGAAATTAGCAGTGTAACCAGGGATAACTTCGTCCTCTGCCAGGACCGCTCTATCTGGGCACAGCTCGTCCACGGCATCAGATACTTGGACTTCAGGATAGGATATTATGAATTTTATACGGATAAAGATGAAAGGTATGCAAAATAAGCGTCATTTTCGATGTTAATTTTAGAGCGCCAATAGCCTGATAGTTAAGGATACCGATTTCCGATCACAAGGTCGGGGTGCGAATCCCGCCATTAGACTATTGTCGTTACCTAACCTATCCTATCACAAGCCTAGAGCTTATTTGGAATAGCAGAAGAAATATTAGTAAATTAACAAATACCTACTATTTTTTTTAATTACTAATCGATCCCTGACAACAGTGAAGTCGTTATAGATGAAGATAATGAATAGGGTCTAGGATAATAAATTATACTATTATTCAAGTATTGTTGACCTTTTTATTAGAATAGCATCGGAATTAGAATACTCCGAGTTCAATTCTGTACAGAATAAGGTAAATTTGTTATTGTTAATATCAATAATAGATACAAGACAAAGGACCACAAATAGGTTAAGATTCAAGATAGATTATTGTTAATGGTAATTCATAAAATGTAGTCATTTTCACGTATCACATTAATCTTTATAATAATCTAAAAAGGTTTGTTTTAGTTCTAGTATTAGCCAAACTACTAACATTAGAATAATATTATAGACATCCTTTGAAATGGAATCAAAGAGTTTGTAACTATGTTGGCAGAATTCCAAAGTTCGGTTACACTCAATTACACACGTAATTGGAGTATACAACAGTTTTGGTAGAAACAACAAGCTGCTCTATTTTTAAATGTACAATAAATTTTTATAACAATACAAATGTAAAACATAACAATTTTATTATATTAATTCAAGATTATATTAGAAATTAAATTGCTAAAATTTATATTGAAAAAAATGGAGTAAAAGTCTGGTAATAAGGCGCCTGAATCAAAAAGAAGTATTAATTTTTAAATTGCACAGTGCTTACAACTGTGGTAACTGAAAACCTTCATTTAATTTTTGTTGGTAAATATAATTAAATCTTACTTATATTGTAAATGCCTAAGCTTAGATAGATGGATGTTTATTTGAAGGTATCTCCATAACGGCTTAACGGATCTTGATTAAATTTTGCACAGATGTAGAACATAGTCTAGAAGAACAGATGGGCTAATTATTAAGTTTTTTTTTAAATTTCGAACTGACGAAATCGCGGGCGACAGCTAATCTTAGTAATAAAGCGTTCATTAAATTTTAACTAAATAATTTTAAATATGATAAAGCCAATTTACCGTACAGATCTATAAGAATTTAGAAAACGATTCTACTATTTCTTCAATGTACTATTTAGAAGATTGCAGAATGCTGTGCGTTGATTAACGGTGTCCGCTCGCTTCCGTATACGTTACATAAGATTGTTACGTAGTTCAACCTACATACAAGAATTGTCTATGTTAACAATTCGTTTTTCAGATACTGGTTAAACCACAACTTAATACGAGTCCGTCCTTTGGTACCTTTGCTGAAGGAAATTAGAGCCTTCTTAGATGCTACTAACGAGGTAATACATTTTTTCATCCCTTTCTTTTCAATTATAAGCAAAGACAGCTAAGTAAAGAGGCTTTGCAACATGTGATTTGAAATTATGATTATTAAACTAAGTTTTAAAAATATATAAATACATCGCAAGAAAATTTACAAAATTTAATTACGAAAGTTGAACCTGTACATAAAGATTTCATGTCTAATTAGTTTTCACAAATTTCATAGATGTTATTGACCTTATTTCTGTTGTTAACAAACGCGTAAGAAGTTTCTTGGCGATTATTACTAGAAAATCGTTGCAAGATTACTGTCACTCTAACAGTATTAAATAAAATAATGTTTTTTTTATTTTAAATCAGGTTGTTTTTCTGGACGCACATCACTTCCCAGTTGGGTTCTACGAGCAGGATGGTAGCCCGATACGCAGTGTGCACGCTGGCTTGTTGGAACTAGTGAAGCGTGAGCTGGGCCCGCATCTCGCGCATGCGCAGCAATTGAGCACCGGCCCCGGCACCCGGGGACCTACGCTGCAGTCTCTCATAAATGCTAACAAGCGCCTGCTGTTTAGTTACGTCGATCATGCTGTTGTTACAGGTAATAAAATTAAATTGTAAAATGTCGGCAAACATTTTGGATGACAACGGAAATTTTAACTAAAAGTATATACAGTTGTAATGGATATAATCCCCAAATAGGTGGAATATTCTCCCTCTACTTTTCTCCTGATCGGATTGTTAGTACATAATTTTCAAAGTCTTATTTATTTGACACTACCAATAATAGAAGCTTAGGGCAGGTGAATCAATTGGAGCTAATAAACAGTACTGTGTCAGTTCTCTCTAAATCCAAGTAAACAATGCAATCAATAACGTACTATAAGTAAGTAATCCTATATCTTAGTGCGACAAAAATAGATTATAACATGAATAGAATAAATGTATCATTTCTTTAGACAAACATGTTGATCACATGTTTCTTCTTTCATGTTTCTGCAGAACAAAAAGTTTATTTTTCCCTCCTTCAATTTCTTATGAATAGCTAGACTTAAAACAACTCTTATTAAATATGCGAGTGCTTAAATCTAAATTAGGGGAGGCGAAACGGTTGATAGCAACCATGTCCAGTAGATCATAGCGAGATAAAAATATAAATACTTAAAATATAACATATAGTAAGATGCTTAGACGTAATTTACACTAATATAAATAGGTATTTACTGAAAATACATATCAGATTTATGATATCATTTTTAATTAAAATATAAGTATTAAATGAAGTACAGTATTAAATTGAATACTCATTTTTTACAATACAATAAATTAATTTTGAATTTTGGGACACGCTATATATAGATTTAAAATTTTAGTACAAAATTTAAGTATTGTTTTTATGTACATACATTATCGAACAAATCGAGCAATGAAAATGTGCTTACACAGTCTCTTATCCTTTGTCGTGTTTTCTATTTCTTTTTACAAAAAAATGTCAAACGGAAACAGCTAATTATGATAATAATCTAATCTAAAGTAATTTCCGTTTCATAAATTATTGACATAACAATTGATTATGAAAATATTAAAAATCAATGAATCAGTTTAACTTTGAAAGGCAGTAATAAAATGCTTAAACTTTTAGAGTGAGGGTCAACGACTTCCGGTATATAAAACTTAAAGAGTGATGAAGCTCAAGAGTTCTTGAGCTTAGCACTACTCGGGTTTACTCTAAGCACGTTAAGATCATAACTTAATGCCCAAGCGGCCTAAAAACAGCTTCGTCAGTAACTTCAGATACATTATTAGAGTTACGTGACCTTTTTTTTACCATGTTTTAAAAAGTTATAACAAAAATATGTCATATCAGTACATTACTAACTTTTTTATTTTGTTATCAATTTCGTATTATCTATGACATTCAAGTAAAATTCATAAGAGATTGCCTACAATATTGGATGCTTATTCCATTATTATAGAATCTGCTATCTTTGTAAGCCTGAATAAAAGCTTGGTCAAAATTATACTTTATAACTCAAAATTTAAAGCCGATTATCGATGCTTCTTTAGTTTTCTAAAAAATTATCTTTGTTTTTTTTCAGACAACAGATGGCTGTGGCCGATACTACCTCACTTGTGGGCAAATACGAATAGTCCCACACTTTTATTCGAGTACTTAGATGATGCTATACCCTCGTCACCACAACCGCACGCGTTGTCACCATTATTCTCAGCTATGGCACAAACTACACCAACAGTACTAGATATACTGTTGCTAAGAGGATCACTGCGAGCAAATGCTGAAGCTGTCAATAAAATTGTAACCAATCGACTTAACAACCAATGGCGACGTCACGCTAACATCATCTCGACAGACTTCTTCCTAGGCAACGATGTCATTGACCTATCGATAGCACTTAGTTCAGAACGAGGCGCTCGATTATGACGAAGTGAAGCAGGTCTCCGGGTAAATAGGTCGATTTGAGGTCGCTCGTTAGCAAGCCGCGCAATTCGTTCTGTTCACACCGCAAAGATTTATCTAGTTAAATTATGATCGCAATGCTACACTGCCATACATTCCATTCAGGATAATATAGTGAGATATTTTGTAAGTTCTATTTAGACATCAACTTGTCAAGCGTTCCGGAACAGAAGTCTAGGAACTTTATACTTCAAGACTACGAGCATTGTTTCAAAAGTTCGTCTTGTATTTCAGAGAAACTTAATGATATGCGATGTTTTAGGTATCATGTATAAATGGAAATTATAGAGGTTCAAAAGTAATCAAAAAGCGCCATAATTATCAAAATATGGAAAGGAACTCACGTGTATTGTTTCTATTCCAAATGCAAGTCATTATGATGTAATAACTATAACCCTTTTAAGCAATAAACATTGAGTTATTTTAATTTTATTCAAAGGAATTTTAATGCTTACTGGAATGAAATATGCAGTTTCGATTTTTTTGGCACACCTGCTCAGCAAGGAATGTTTTTGTACATATGTAAATTACAGTATTATGTAAGAATAAATCGATTGTTAGACACCAAAGGTATAAATAAAAACATTATTTAAAAATATCTTCTTTTTACTTATTCAAATAAGCATACCACTAATATTGGCATTAATAAATAGTACCTAAAAATTAAAAATACTTGTACTTGTAACAAACGAGGTAGATTTACAGTGCTTTTGCACTAAACTTGTAGAGTGAGAGTCAGGTCAGGTGTGTGGAGCCAGGAGGGGTAGGAGCTCGGCACGGCTCATGCGTGCGAGCTGGCGCGCGTCCAGGCCCATGGCGGCCGCCGCACCTCGCACGTCTAGCCCGAAGCTCTGCAGCAGCGCCGCCAGCGCCACCTCCTCACCCGTGCGCGGGTCCCGCAGTCGTGGACACGATCCGTTGCACTGCGGCCACGAGCACCGCTCAATCAGCCTTCGCGGCGCGCACCGTGCTTTCTCCCGGGTGCCCCTGTCTAACCGACGCTCCCAACATGAGATCGCTCGAGGCAACGGCACGCCTGAGACGTTAATCGCCAGCCATTCGGGTCGAGCCAGCGCACCGTGAGCTATGCAGGCCGGTGCAAACGTCGATCTGACCGTCTTGAGGCTGGACCGCAACGCAGCTCCCGTCTGATGCACGTCGTCCCACTGAGCGCGGGTCCGAGGCGCGCGAACGCCTTCCGCCGTTAGTTGCGCGGAATCGAACAGGTATTGAAACACAAATAGAGGCGTTCGTATGTAAGGGTATAAGCGATACCCAAAGTAGCATAGCCACGGCTTCTCAGAATACTCGCGTACACAGGAAGTCGGCGGAGAACCACGCCAGTAAGAGTGTCCTAATCTCGCAACTGCGTCCGTCGAAAACGAGCGTCGACCTTTTGCGGGTCGATCAAGGAACCAGCCCGAATCGGCGATCGCAGCGACTCGCACTCTGTGCGGTCTGAGCGCCCTTCTAATAGCATCTGCGTTTAGCATTACTCCAGCGCCACCGGCGCTAGATCCGACGAGCAGAAGTCGTCCTGCCAGACCGAGCCTGATAAGGTCGGCAAGCACCGAGCGGACTATGAGACGGCCGGCGAAAACAAAGCTACCGTTCGCCGCTGAGAGGCGAGTACCGGCCCACATGTCACTGGAGCAGTATGGCAACAGGACGTGGTTCGAATCGTGCCACAACGGGTTGGTGGTGGGGTCGGCGGAGAGCAGCGCAGGGGCTCGGCGCGCTCGCGGCCAGCGCGTGGACGACATGAGACCGGGCCGACGCCGCCAGCGTGCGTCGCATGACGCTGCGTCCCAGCAGTAGCCCCCGCCCTCCAGGTACACCACCCAGTGGTGACTGTTGCTGCCGCGCCGAAAATAAAACCTGAAATATAACCAATAATACTTTGCAAAACAGCGCTATCTGGTTACATTTAATGTGGACTATATTTGAGGTCCTTTAAAAAAGCAGCAACGACTAGACGGCACTTGAGGACCCAAAGCGTTGAATTTTTTGTTCTAAACTCGAATATTTACTTGGGTTCCTCGTCTCCGTCCATAAATTCGCTAAAATATATAGTTTATTGAATGAAAGTATAGTTACCCAGCCGGCGAACCATCGTTGCAGGTAAGCGACGAGTTGGAAAGCCGCGCCAGCCGCAGCCCATCGCGCCGCGCTGCACTTTCGCTGCTGACGCACAACACAACCTGGGTATCAATGAAAAATAAATACAGAGTAAGTATTATATTCCGGTGGGAATAATATGAAGTCCCTTCCCCTCATATCCAGATTTCAAACAAGGTATAAGCTTTTAAAAAAAGTTGTACAGGCAAGTACGAATAATAATAAATTTATCGTAAACATGAAGCTGAGATGCAAGCCGCTTCCTAGCCTTATCATCATAGCTCCTCAAGAGTAACCATTAAAACAACATGAAGTTTTTTTCTTAAGCGGTACACTCAAAGTGATGTTTTTTCTGTTTATTTCACGAACACGTTCTTCATGCGAGTGCATTATTAAGTTACATTCTCTGAGCGATGCGACCAATATGAATAATTCAATTTTATGATCGCGGCTTGTGTTTACTTAATATAAATAAAATAATATGTTTGCAATAAAACTTCGCTACTTTAATCTGTTAAATAAATATAATTTGTTTCTTGGTTGTTCTTTCCTGTTTTCTATAAATAAATAATCGAACACTTAGGAATTGACAATGATTATAGATTATGATTTAGCATAAACTTGGAGATGTTTTCTAAATTTATCTAGGCAATCTTTGTAGATTACGTGCACTTTAAAACTGAACGTTTAATTCGTCTTCATTTTGCCAGTCACTTTTGCAACATAAATCGAGGATCTTTCTTTCTTTTTTCGTTCAAGAAGCCAAAGTTATCGCAAAATATTTCTCAAGTACATTATGACTTGATTTCTATATAATATAAGCGGCATTGAGGGCGTCGGTGTTTAATTATAACATACAAGAAATGTTTTTACAAAATATTTAGTTAGTTTACGTGCACAGGCGCCATAACATATTCACCTCTATACTATTGTAAATTAATTTTAAACGAAGTGTGAACTTCTAATACACACAATTTATGTTTATCTAAAAAACCAATTACCGAAGTAGGAACTGTTTTAAGCAAAAGAAACTAGTTAAGTTTAAATTTCTTCTTTTAAATTTCTACGCAAAGAGACAAAAATATTGATTTTTAGAAAAAAACATCCATGTATAGACACGATAAGAAAGAAGCGGCAAAAACACGCGCGACAATATGAAAACAAACACAATCTACAAACAAATAGTTCACTTTTGTCACAGAAATTCACTTAGTTTAAAACTTAGTAGTTTCCTCTTATTCTAGACATTATCACCACCATTTTTTTTCAGACAACAAAACAAAAAGAAATCACTATTAAATATAAATAGTATGCGTACACATATGGTCCATGCGAGGCGAGCGATGCGCAGAAGCGCGGTCATCGCGGCGGCTGCGCTTGCGCGCCCCGGTATCTCGCACACCCCATGCCGCGTGACGTCACTGCGCGCACAGTAGCCACCGAATAAAGGCTGTATTTACGCCGGGGACGGAGCCGCCGTACGACTCGTGGCGCGGCGTCCGACCGAATAAAGGTAAAGAGTGGCGGGCGCTCGTTTGTGCGCCAGGAGCGGCTCCGGCGGCGAGATCAAAGGCGGCGCGGATCAAAGGCGCCGCCGCGCGATCGGCATCCGTCATTATTATTATGCAAGCATTACGGAGCGCGTGAGTCGGGCGCGAGGGCGCGAGGGCCACGCGAGCTAGCCCGGCTGCCGCTGTCGCTGCCGTGCCGGTGCCCTCGGGATTCAGCGCCCGCGCACACCGGCCACGCGTTTTGCACCTCGTTTCACTTTAATAACTCCTTTTGGCAAACATCTGTGGGACGCGACGCCCCGCCCACCGGCCCGTTTGATCTTCTAATTTATATCTACATTCTAATGAGTTCAGTACACTCGATAGCATACTTACAAGTTTCGGAAAACGAGCCTTTTGAAGTGAATTTTGCTTTGATCATTTTTTTTATTTTATGCAACAACTTTATCATGATATTGTTGATCTTGTGTCGTTAATCAGAAACAGATTTGTGGATGTCAGTAACATAAGATTACCGAAACTATGAGTTAACAATTTATATATATTTTTGGACATATAAACAAACATTAGAAGTGCCATTTTTAGTATAAAGACGACGTCATACACGAATAGTTGATGCAAACACCTTTTTAATAACATAGTCGATTGCAATGTAAACCTTCTTAATGAATCCTAATAGAGCATTTAGTATCTATGCACGACTTTTAAACGCCAAGGTTCATGCCCTAAAGGACATGCCACATGGGTGGAACGGAATCGCGACGTTCCCAGAATTACCGTTACAAGATAAGTAGGTACATAAAAAGGACAAGTAACCCCGTAACAAAGTTGAGTGAAACCTTATCCGGTCAGCATTGCAACTTTTTATAAAAATTTCCTTTTTCTTATTAATTGTTATGTTTTATGTGTTATGATTGTTTTGTTATATTTTTGCTAATTGTATTGTAAAATTGAAAGGATTAAATGTTATTTCATTTTTTTTAACACCGATGGGGTGTCATTAAAGTGGGACACTACTATCATTCAAAACTGCAGGCCATTGTAACTTTTTTGGGGATTTTATTGCGTTGTCGCATTATCTAATTTGTCTGTTATCCATTGCGGCGGTGATCCGCATGTATGGCATCTATCTAAGTTACCCAGATAATAATACCAATGTATCGTGATTAACTCAGGAACTTGTTTATCGCATAAACATTGCATTTTAATGACATTGCGTATCGATATATTTATAAACTTAATGTTGTTGCAAACAAGAAAATCGAACAGCCTAACAAATAAACATAATATTTTAATGATATTGATTTTATTACATGTATATAATATAACTAATATATAAACAATTTATATATATATATATATATATCTATCATCGGCTACTAATTAAGTTTTTATTTAATTCCGCGCGGACGGTGTTACGGGCGATACGATACGTAGTGATTGTTTTCTTTAGCGTATTACAACATACTTTCTATTAACGCTACATTTTCTCATAAGAAATATTACATTTGATACAGAAGATAATTTTGTTGCGAGGTGTCGTTCGATGTTCACTGAGCTAAGTACAATATAATTGTCTTGCGGCGCGGACCTTCAAAGCATGTACCTGCCTGTAAAAATTCCATCTAAAGGCAGGCCGGCACAATGAGCCCTTTGACAGTCGGTACCTACCTTTATGATGCCGCCTCTGATATATGATACGAGGTTGGCTCATTAAATTTGTTTTATTGACTACCGGCACAGCATCTAGCGGCCGGACGATAAATCAGGACGTCTGAAAGAAGACGCGACGCCGACGATACAAGCAGAGCGGAAGAATTAACCATTAAAATCATTCAAAATCTTCACGGCTTATTATTCAATCCCATTATGATTTAGTTGGACGGCGTTTTAAAAGCGATTTAGTACAAGAGACTATTATACAGTTCGTTTTTCTTTAACAATAAATACAACAA